CACCCGCGGCCTCCCAGCCCTGGACCGGCGCTGCCCGCAACCCCACGGCCCGGGACCCCACGGCCCGGGACACCCAAGCCTGGTTTTCCCACCGCCCAGGACCCTTACACCCGTGGCTTCCCGGCCCCGGACTGGTGCCGGCCAGGACCCCACGGCCCGGGACGCGCACACCCGTGGCCTCCCCGGACCAGCACACTACCCAGGTCCTGCACACCCCACAGACTGGCACCGCTGGGGACCCCACGGCCCCCGCACACCCGGCACCGGCACCACAGCCGGGTTCCCACAGCCCGCGACCGGCGCTGCCCACGTTCCCACGGCCCGGAACGCGCCTCCCCCCCACCCCGGGGACCCCACGGCCTGGGACCGGCGCACCCGGGACCAGCACCACCCCCAGGCTCTGACCTCCCCCATTTAAGCCGCTTCCCGGAGGCTCTGGGGAATCCGCGATCATCCGCGATCCGGTGAGGCCTCATCACCCGTGAGCCGAGCGCTCACCGAGAGCCTGCGGGGTCCGTCCATCCCGCCGGATCCATCGGCCTCGTCCGCCCATGGCCGCCCTCTTCACCGGGAAGGTCCTGATGGCCAACCAGGAGCGGGACGAGGTGGAGACGGAGCGGGAGCTGGGCCGGGCGCTGGAAAACAAGGTGCTGCTGCTCTACTTCGCATCCGGGCAGTGCCCGCGGTGCCGGCAGTTCTCCCCGCTCCTCAGGGATTTCTTCCTGCGGCTGACCGACGAGTTTTACGTGGAACGAGCTTCGCAGCTGGTCCTGGTGTACGTGTCCCGCGACGAGACGGAGGAGCAGCAGAGCGCTTTCCTGAGGACCATGCCGAAACGCTGGCTGGCCCTACCTTTCGGGGACGCCTTCAAAAGGTACGCCCCGGGCGAAGCAGCGAGGCAAACCGCCCCTCCCCCCAGCCCCGGCTGCGTTTTCAGATATTGAGAGTCTTTTCCAGATGTTTTCCCTCATATTCAGTCCCCGCCGGAGCGGTTGGTGTGGCGCGCTCATGGGAAAAATTGTTCAGGCTGTTTGGCTGCACCTATTTATAAAGGAAAAATATTTCCTCTTCCTTCCATCTCGCTTTTTGCCGATACATTTGTACGCCAGTTTTACAGCGCGCTATTTATAACTCTAAAAGACACGTCAGCCGACCCTCCCGGCAGAACGCGTAGCGTGAAAGATGGACGCAGCCAGGCGGATTGGAAGCGCTCACGTACTTGCTGTAACCCCATTAGCGACAGAGCGAGCTGCAATTAATACCGAGAATTATTCCCAGCTCCTTTGGAGGGCAAACCGGAGCAAAATTCCAAGCGTCCTGCTGCTGTTTAACCGCTGCTGGTGTAAAACACGTCCCAGCAGCCGTCACGCAGCTCCCGTACCCCAGGGAGCTGAGGCCCAAACCCCCTTCCCCTTTTACCGGCCCCACAGAGATCCGCGTCAGGCTCTTAATTACCAGCCACGGACAAACGAGAGGGTTATGTGCAGCAAAACGGGCTTCGCGTAACTGCACCGGGACAGCCGCGGGAATCCCACCGGACGGCGAGGACGAGGAGCGGCGAGGACCGCTACACCCTTCCCGATTTGAGGTTTCTTCCCCCTTTGCCTTGCAGGGAGCTGGAGCTGCGGTTTGCCGTGTCCGAGGTGCCCGCGGTGGTGGTGCTGAAGCCGAACGGGGAGGTAATCGTTGGAAACGCCGTGGAAGAGATCCGGCGCGTGGGCCCCGCTTGCTTCCGAAACTGGCAGGAGGCTGCCGAGCTGGTAGACAGAAATTTCCTCTTGGCAGAGGATTTTGATGACTGGACCAGGAGAAGCATCACCGAGCCCATCCGCCGCCTCAAGTACAAGCTGGACAAGAAGACGGAGGCGAAGAACAAGGAAAGGAAAGCGGAAGGCGAAGAGTCGGCTTAGGGGCTCGAAGAGGCCGCGGCCGCGTGGGCTGACTTGGCCGGGGCCGTCCCCGCAGGTCGCTGTCCCTACCCGACGTCTCCGGGACAGCAACATCCGAGTTGTAGAAGTCCACTAAAAGCACGGTAGTTTTCCAAAAGTTGAATCGTTTTAAGGCAAACGTGCTCCACTCCCACGCGCAGCTTTTCACGCGTGGAAGGCCGGTTAGCGTAATAAGGATATCGCGAGCCCGACCGAATTACGTTTCCTTTTTGTCACCCTAGGACGTAGCATAGTAAAAATCTCAGTTACATCTTTGTCATTTATTTACCAAAAAAGCGAGAAGAAAAGTAACTGACAGACACCGGCATTCAGCGGGTGACTCACTAAACAGTTTTAAAAACGGGAATTGCATTAAAAAAAAACCCCGCAGCAGGCCCAAGCGCGGCTGCGGAGGTACGGAGCCGCCGGGGCAAACAACAGGAACAGAATCCCTACGATAAGCCGATACGGGGGGGTTTAGGAGACAGACCCCCACGCGCTAAGCGAGCAAGTCCTGGGAGATCTCCCATCTCGCCGCTCGCGTTACGCTGCTGAAAATTTACGTTTCGGACAAATCCTGCTGAGAAGCAGGTTGCTTCATGACCGGAATTACAACAGGCAGCGGCTGCCCCGGTGACCTGCCCCTCCGAGCGCGAGCCGCCTCTCTTTTTCCGCTAATACACGGTTCCCTCTGCACAGGCCTGCCGCGGGGCCCCCCCCCCCCCGAGCGCGAGCCGCCTCTCTTTATCCGCTAATCGCGGTTGCCATCTGCTGCTGCAGAGCGCCCGGCAGCAATCCGCCGGGAAGCCGAGTCCCATCCCGGCTGGAAGATCCGCCTGTCCTAACCCACCGCAGCAGGCAGCAGACATCCTCAGCAAACACCACTCTGCTTCGTCCTTTCAAATTCAACAGATTTGGACGGGGCCGACTCTCTGAACGGCTGAGGGGGACGACGCTCCGCAGCCAGAAACCTCGTTTACGGAGCCTGCAGGGAATCCTGCTGCGCGCATCCCCCGCTTCCCGCAATCGAGGGGTCTGAAAAGCAGGAGAAGGGGGGAAGGGACCGTTCACGTGCTCGTTTCTGGTCCCGCTCTCCACTATATCACCGGGGGACGAGCGGAGGATTTCCGAAACCTTTGCTGGATCCATGAAGGATTTGGGAAGGAAAGCGCATGTCGAAGACAGACAGAGAGGCCGCGCAAGGCCGGCTTGTTCAACTTGTTTTCCGACTTAATCCTCCCTCTCTTCACCCAGCAAGTTTGACAGGTAGAAGAGGGAAGGAGGAGAAGTCCTATAAAATAAATGGTTGGGAGGGACTCTTGGGCAGAACAAGAAGGGCAGTTCCGTCAGGATGCTCCACGGTGCACGGACACGGCGTGAGAAGGCACAAATAAGACCCCACGGTGCTTCCAGGTGGCGTAGCTGCTGGAGGAGCGAAGCTGTGCTGCCTGACGGCCGCTAAGGAAACACTACTCCATTCGCCTCGGGCAATGTCCAGCGGTTAGTACGCCTGTATTTAAAAAAGCAGGTATAAATCACAAATTAGGAACCTGGAGCGATGGGAGGGAGGCAAAGGGCAACATTTTCACCTGTTATTATCTGGCGGCCAGGTGCTGCTTCTCCTCCCCGTGGACCTTTGATGTCAATAAAAGGCCACCCTCCACCTACATTTATGAAAATTCGATAATATTAAATGTTGCCTTTTACCAGCCCTACCCATTTATTTTTTTGAGCCGCCGTATTTTCCTCTGTTCAGAACCAAAAGCTGCCCTTTTCTTGGCCGTCGTGGGGCCAAGGAAGGGACACCGAGCGATAGCGAAAAGTGAAGCTGCCAGCACGGGGCAGCGCTGCTGTGCTATCATCATCATCATCATCATCATCACCACAGCAAAGACAAACAAGTGCTTTAGCTCCTCTTGATTTTCTGGACGTTTTCCCCCCAGTAAAAGAAGCCACAGTGCATGTGAGTGCACTTCAGGCAAAAGCAGGAGATGGAGCGGCTCTTCTCTCACAGCTGATAAAGCTCGGCAATCCCTGGGAAGCCGGGAAAGCCAAATCCCGCTGCCGGTAGGAGGGGAGGCAGCGCCGGCAGATGCTCTGCCTAGCGAGCGAAGGCAGTGCTGCACCTCAGGAGAAGAAAAAAATCCTACAGCCAGCCACAAACCTTATTTCTCCATCTCAGGTTCCATCAGAGATGAAAATCCTCCCGACGGATGCGTTGCACAGCGCTGCTAAGACATTTAGCTCTGCTTTCGTGCACGGGGCTTATTATTTGTATCTACAGAACACAGAACAAAGGGAATTCGAATGCTTAGAAATCTAAGCACCCTTCAGTGCAAATAACCAATTCCCGATACATTTACTTTGTCAAACACGCTACCTTACGGTTGGTCTGCATAATTCTTGCTTTACCCTTTCCCTGTGTCACACAATCTCCTTACAAAGAGCCTTGCCGTCCTGAAAAACAGAATACACTAACGCACGTGGAATGACGAAGGTGCTTCACAAGTTTCGGACAGCACAGAGTTAACGAAAGCCGGGTAGGAGGATGGGTCTGATCCAGTAGATAGCCTGGGAAGTGAGTAATTTTACAGCTCCCAAGAGGAATGTGGAAAATCCGCACAGCCTGACACCTGCCTGAGGTTGCAGACTCATCCCACGCAGGCTGCGCGTAGCGTCGCTTCCCGCAGCAGAGGCGCGGGGCAGCCCAGCGGAGATTCGGGAGCCCGACTGCACCGGGACACCGGCAACGGCTCGATTTTCTGGTTTCACCAGCAAATACCAAGACGCCGCGGTACCCGGGACAAACAGAGATTTCTCACGAGAGGCGATGGCTTTTTCCTCGTCCGTGTTTTAGCTGAGGAAGGACAACGAAAGAGATGGAAGACAGCTCGCCTAAGCCGACGTTTTTACTTGCAGATAATGTTATGGTAAATAAGAGAGACCCATACGGAAATGCAGCGCTACTGCATATGGATATTCGGCGCTTGGTTTTGATATCCAAGCCTTGCTAAGAAAAAGTTTCCTAAACTTGGGTTTCCATTTGCTGGAAAGGGTGCGAAGAAACTTGATAATTAAAACTTGCTTCAGAAAACTCTGGTTGCAGCTCTACTCAATTAGAAAATGAATAAATGCTGAGAGCATGAGAATTCATCTCATACCTTCCATTTTCTTCCGAGTGTTTTGTCTTGCGTCTCCAGTTGCTTTTGCAGAATGCTGCTTCTCCTCCTCCATTCAATGAGGGGGAGCCGCGCTCACGGCCCGCGGGACCTCGGAGGTGTGCGCCCAAAAACATAGCCGGAGAAAAAGGCTCACCCACCGGACTCGGGAAAGCTCCGCAGCGGGTGCTCCACCTCGCCATGAACGGGCCGGGAGCCCAGGGCAGCGCCGGTCCTGCTCGGATCGCAGGCGGATCGCCAGGCAGACGCCTTCCACCCGGCCACGAGCCCGATGCCGGATGCCTGGCTGCTGCCTGGGCTCCGATCCAGAGCCCTGCCCCTGGCGATCGCGCCGGCGGCGGGGACCGCACGGCCGGCGAGGCGCTCCGCATCACCAAACACCTGAGGAACATCGACAGGAAACTGCAGAACTTCCGCGAGCTCTTCCAAAAAGGTAAATATTTTTCAGTCCACTTATTTGCTTACAAAACAAGCAGATTATATTCAGCAAAAACGATCCTGTCTCATTCTTGCTGCATTATTTATTTAAAGCAATGAATTTAGACAGCCCTCAGACAATTTAGAGTGGTTTCTCGCTGCGCAGATATTTAATTATGCAAACGTCTTTTGCTCTAATGAATTGCATCAATAGATAAAATTTCAGAGCACTTACCCACCTAAGTGCGCAGGTTTTCTCCAAAAGCGATGCAAAACCACGCCAAGTGCTGCTGACAGCACCTGCAATTACTCAGGCGTGAGTTCAGCTGGCTCCGAGAAAGGCTGCCTGCGATAACCCCGCTGAGAAAACCGGGATTCATCCCCAGGGAAGGAGTCCAAATGCCACGAGTCGGAGAGAGGCTCAAGCTGGCGGTGCTCTGGGTGGCGGCGGGAGCCCCAGCGTGTCTCCCAGCCTGGAAACGTGCTCCAGAAGCGCCGCGCCTGCCTGTCCGGCACCTTCCCCCTCTCTCCTCCTTTTTCCCAGGATAGCCTCTGTGCTTGCAGGACGCTCTCCAGGCTGGAGCCCAAGTAAATAGACCTAAACCGAGAATTAAGAAAACAGTTATCACAGGCTCGGTGCTGCTCTAGAAACCTTGTACAGCACGGCAGCATTAACAAAATCCCTTCAACTACTTGCTGGAACAAGAAACCTCCTGGAGAAGTGCCACCCTCTCCACCAAGGCACCCGGAGAGCCCTGTGATCTTGGTCTCCCCACCCACGGCCGCAAGCTGTAGCTGTAGGTCACGGTGACTGCCTCACCCCAGGCGCGCCGAACAAGTTGGGTTGGCCGCGCTCCTCCAGCAGACTCGTAACTGCGGTGGTGCTCTTAGCTTCGCAAGGTGTTTGCTTTTAACAGCCCCCAAACAACGCCGGCTGCACGTGGAAATTCAACCTGCCCGGGCTGGCTCCTTCGCGGAGCGTCTTTCCGAGCGCCCAGCTTGGGATTGCGTTTTTGTCTCGGAGGTTGGCCTTTGGACGTAAAGACACGAAGATACGCAGCGCTCCTGCAGCAGGAAGCGGGGCCGTTCATCGCTTGGGCTCGCGGAGTAGAGCCCAGACAAAAGGCAGCGTGGAGCCTCGTTGAGGGTCCTGGCCCTGGTGACTAAGGACCGGGCAACGTCCACATCCATCCCATCGCCGCGTGGGGGTTTTTTCGCTCGCTTCGGTCCTCAGAGTTTGTTATTTGCCGTTTTGGGCAGAACTTGAGTATTTGGGAACAGCCGGGTACCCGTACCATGGTGCTTATCCTGGGAGAGGTGAGGATGAGAGTTCATGCATGCAAAAAAAGAAAACTGTAATTTTTCCCCTTCTTTATTTTAGGCGAA